AGGTTGTTTTTTAACCTGTGAAATGCTGCAATTGGTGAAAGTCTCCCTGTGGGAAGTGGATCACACAGAAGGGAATCACAGGGTGTAGTTAAACAGATTTTCTATGTCTGTGTTCTAGGATCTGATTAAGTAGAAAGAGATCAGGAGGATTATAATCCTTCCAATATGTCTCTTAGTTACTTAAAACCTTATTTTCCAGTTGTCTTCCCTTCGTTTTGCCACCAGGATGAAGTGGGTCACCACAGAGCCAATCCTCAATGAGACCTATGACCAACAGGTACAGAGAGAAGGGGATGGAGGAAGCGTATTAGCTCAGATTCATTAACATTTAGGAGAATAACCTTAAAAAACAGAAGGAAATGAGGTATTTTGATGTATTACCACTCCTTGGCCAAGCTGACATTGCTAATTCTAGGTGGGTGATGAAATGGATTAGTATGAAACTTGTAGGTATTTAATATATTTAATTAAAATGGTATCTAATAGTATATTGTGGTAGTTACCTGAGTGTGCTGGAGGGTACAGCCACCATGCAGGTGGGCACATCTTCCCTGTCATGTGGTAACACCTCTGCCATGATTAGAAAATTTAGGTTAAGTTAGAAAAAATATGTTAAACAAGGAAATAATTTGAAGAAATTTAAATTCAAAGCCAAGGATCACAGGAGTTTAGGTGTCCTGAGTGCACTTTCATAGCTGAAGGAGTGAAAAAAACAACCAGAGGAGCTGAAATTGGAGTGTTTAAGGAAGTTTGTGCTTTGATGCTCCACTTCAAAGCAGCTCCATGTCCAGTTTTGACTCCCAGGAAGATTTGTGTACTCATACTTTTGTGGAAACACATTTTAAAGAGTGAATCCTTGGAGATATCCTATGTTATGGAGATATTCAATCAAATAGAGCACAGGAGACTCTCTCCTCTGTTACAGTTAGTGTCAGAAGTGCTGAGTTTAGGCAGGGGTGGAGTGGAGACCTGCACTCTGCTTGGCCTCCAAGATAATATCTCCTATCCCAGAACCTGATGGTCCCTAAAACACCAGATCAGGAAGTCGTCAAATTAAACCAGTTCTTTTGATGGCTTAGGCACAGTCTGCAGCCAGGACACACAGCAAGTGTCCTGTTGGGAGCTAATCAAAGGCAAAATGTATTCCATACCCTGCTGCAAAGCCTGAGGGAGCTGGGAGCCAGCTGGGATATTCTCCAGCAGCTGTTCTCATGCTGCTTTTAGCAGGTTTTATTTTGGTCAGTATCATTCAGTCATTTGCTGACCCTTTTGTTTCCCTCTTAGGTGTCTGTGAAGGCTTTGGAGGAGGAGATTAGTCTCCTGAGGAAGGAACTGACCATGCAGGACAGCTTTGTAAGGAACAGGCTCTAGCATCTTAGACTGGACCTAGTTAGGCTTTTCCACCCTCTTTGTTTTGCAGTAGGATCAGTCAACTCAGTGCCCAGTAGGATTGTGCTCTCCCTTCTGCTTCCGGCACCATCTTTGGGGGTTTAGGCAAAGCTGTGGAGATCCCACACAGGGAGATTGTATTGTAGCTTCAGACCAGAGCCACTGGAGATGTTTTTATCAGACTTTGAAGCCTTTCTGTTGGTTGATTGGAATGTGAAGGGGAAAGCTTCCAGCATCTCCCAAATCCCATCTCCTGTCAAGTAATCTCCTATCAGCTCCCAAATCCCATCTCCTGTCAAGTCAGGTGCTGAGAGTCACAATCATAAACTAAACTTAAGTCTCACCTGGGCACAGTAATATCATGTGGTTGCCAGACTAGTAGAATCATAGCATCCCAGGCTGGTTTGGGTTGAAGGGACCTCAAGAATCATCCAGTGCCCCCCCCTGCCATGGGCAGGGATGCCTTCCACTAGACCAGATTGCTCCAAGCCCCATCCAATCTAGCCTGGAACACTTCCAGGGATGGGGCAGCCACAGCTGCTCTGGGCAACCTGTGCCAGTGCCTCACCACCCTCACAGCCAAGTATTCCTTCCTAATATCTAAATCTCTCCTCTTTTAGTTTAAAACCATCACAGACTCTGCTAGAAGCTTTGTCCCCATTGTTCTCATAGGTCCCCTCAGCTGTTTTTCACTCCCTGATTCTCAGTTTTTCACCTTTTTTCTTAGTTAAATCGTTGTGTGACTTACGAGCCCCTGACTGGTGCCCAGAAAGCAGAAATTAAATCTCAAGTCCAGAAATACCTAAAAGGAGCCATTCAGGAAATTGATGTAAGTAGCATTCTACTGAAGGACTTAAATACTGGTTTTCCCATTCTCTCCCAAGAGAGAAGCAATGAAAATGTATTCTGAAGAGGCTGTTTTTCACCCCAAAAACACTGCAGAATTGTAATTTTTTGCATGTTACAGACTTTCTCTATATTTTCAGTCCAGTTTTGCTGTTTTAGAAGCTTGAGGAGGCTTTCTTGAAATCCTAAACCCCTTTAAATTGATTTCTTTGGAGCTTCTTTAAAGAAGTCATGGCAAAATGTTGCCCTGCCAATGCCAAATGAAGTCTTTGCAAGGTTTGTGGCCAAAATATTCCTCAGTGGCACTGAAAAATGTTTTAGAGAGAGGGTTGGGAAGAGATAATGTGTTTTGGAGCTTGGTCCTGGGTTTTGGACCTTGGGAGAGCTGAGCTAAAGTTATTGCAAATAATTCATTGCCTTGGTGACTTTACATCTCTCTTCCTCAGATAGTGAATGTCAGGCAAGTCCAGGAGGTGTTTCAACAGTTCAAACTGGTTGTGAGGTAAGATCATAGAATCCTGGAATGGTTTGGGTTGGAAGGACCTTAAAGCTCATTCTGTTCCACCCATGGGCAGGGACACTTTCCAGTAGCCCAGGCTGCTCCAAGCCCCATCCAACCTGGCCTGGAACACTTCCAGGGATGGGGCAGCCACAGCAGCTCTGGGCAACCTGTGCCAGTGCCTCACCACCCTCACAGCCAACAATTCCTTCCCAACATCCCATCTCTGGGATTCCCAGAGGGCAGTGGGAAGCCATTCCCCCTTGTCCTGTCCCTCCAGGGCCTTGTCCCAACACAACACCCAGCTCTCCTGGAGCCCCTTGAGGCACTGGAAGGGGCTCTAAGGTCTCCCTAGGGCCTTCTCTTCTCCAGGCTGGACACCCCCAGCTCTCCCAGCCTGGCTCCATGGTAGAGGGCTCCAGAATCCTGGAATGGTTTGGGTTGGAGGGACCTTAAAGATCACCCAGTTCCACCCTCTGCCGTGGGCAGGGGCAACTTCCAGTAGCCCAGGTTGGTCCAAGCCACATCCAACCTGGGTTTGAGGTTAAAGTAAGGTGATGGGACTGAACAGAGGTAATATAATTTCCTCTGGACCATTAAAGGTGATATTAAAATAGTCATCAAAAAGCTTCAGTATCAAAGATACTTAAGGGGATGTTGTGGGAAAGGAGAGGATGATGGTTCTGAGGAAGCATGAAAAGGGCAAGATGGGGTCTTTGAGGGTGAGACCACAGGTAAGAAGTTTTCTTTGGGAATCTCATGTTGTCAGGGATCACAGGTTTTACCAAGCACAATGCTAAGGAGCTCTTTTCTCCCCTAGTCAATGGGAGCAAGAGACGGAGGACAAGATACAAAGGAAATACAGTGTGATAGGCAACGATGACTTTGTTGCTGATGTTGCTGATGACAAGGTAACACCTGGTGCTTGACCTGGCCCAGAATCCACCTTAGAATTGCCTCTTTGCTGTCAAAATTGCCTCAGGTCCAGCTTTTCCCTGTTGCAATCAAACTCAGAGATATTAATGGGATGAGTGTATCCAAAAATGTGCTCAGAGCAGAGATGCACCAGTTAACAAAGAAACATTTCTGTCAGCAGAGGAGTTCATTCACCACATCTGACCAGAATAATTTATTAAGTGGGAATTAGAATCCCTGACTGGTTTGGGTTGGAAGGACCTTAAGGACCATCTTGTTCCAACCCCTGCCATGGGCAGGGACATCTTCCACTAGAACAGGTTGCTCCAAGCCCCATCCCACCTGGCCTGGAACACTTCCAGGGATGGGGCAGCCACAGCTGCTCTGGGCAACCTGTGCCAGTGCCTCACCACCCTTGCAGGGAAGAATTCCTTCTCAGTATCCCATCTAGCCCTGCCCTCTGGCAGTGGGAAGCCATTCTCTCTTGTCCTATAAAATATAAACCAGAAAGTGGTCTGCCTGTCACTCAGGTGTAGAAGGTAATGTCAGATTACCTTGTTTAATCCTTATAATTTCTGAAGCCAAGGATATGTATGACACATAAACCACGAATCCTGATGTGGGCTCTAACATAGAAGTTTTAATTTCCATATTGTTTAGACAGATGGTTTATTCCTGTTTCTAGGCAAGTGTGGTTGATGTGGAGGATCATTTGGTCATGGATGTGGAGGATCATTTGGTGCATGAAGAGGATAAAGAGTCTTTAAGGAGTGGAACTGCTTCTCTTTTATCCAAACGTGGTGTGAAAAAGAAAGCCAAGAAGAGCAAAGAGCAGCTCAAGTAAGTTAAGCAGCCACAGAGCTCTCTCTTTTTTCTGATAATCATGGAATCGTGGAAGTGTTTGGATTGGAAAAGCCCTCTGAGACCATCGAGTGCAACCATTCCCCCAGCACTGCCAAGCCCACTAATAACCATGTCCCCAAGTGCCACATCCACATGGATGCTAAATCCCTCCAGGGATGAGAACTCCACCCCTGCCTTGGGCAGCCTGTGCCAGGG